CACCTTCTTTACTCTGTTAGTTGATTTGCACATAAACCATTCCTACTTATTATTAGCCTTCCTAAAGTTTGCTGATACTGCTTAATAAAGTCATTTAATATACATTAGCATGGATATTGATTTAAGCAGTATTTTTTCTCCATCTTTTTGTTGTTGTTTGGAGAACTCACATATTGTATTTATGAAGTAAATGGTGATAGAGAATAAATAGAGATTTAGGGGCAGGGTCACTGTTTCATTAAAGGTTACAACTTAAATTCCACCTAGAAGTTGAGATGTACATTTTTTTATTGTCAATTCAAACCCCATTTAATGCCTTTAAAACATATTTTCAATAAAAAGTCTGATTTGCCAACCTGATAAATAATGTGGCCTTTGCTTCTAACCTGCAGAGGAAACACGCTCCCCTCCGTGCCCTCTCTTCTCGGAGTAAGTACAAATAGTCTGCATGATCTCCATATTTAGTATTTTATTATAGTTTTGTACTCAGTCATTTGAGTCAAAGTCAAAGTCAAAGTCAGCTTTATTGTCAAGAATTCTACATGTTGTACATCCAGAAATCTCGAAATATCGTTTCTCACAGTCCTACAGTGTGACATATACATCAAACAAAAAAACAAAAAGGGCCTAGATAAACTTGGTATACATTAAACAAAATAAAGTGCCTATAACCGGGGTATACAGTTTAAAATGTTAATAATATAATATATTTAAAGTGTTCAAAGTACAGTTTCAGTGCACTAGCAGCGGAGATGGGCAGAAAAATGAGAGACGGTCATTAAAATCAAGCTAACCAAGTTGATGGTTTTTGGGAATAAAAAATGGATGATTTCGGAGTAACTGTGTGGAGGTGTGGGGAAATATACGGCTAACAATACACGCATTTATTTAAATAATGAAAATACACCGATCAGCCAAAACATTATGACCACTGACAGGTGAAGAACATGGATTATCTCGTTACAAAGGCACCTGTCACTGGGTGGGATATGTTAGGCTGCAAGTGAACAGTTTGTCCTCAAAGTTGATTTGTTGGAAGCAGGAAAAATGGGCAAGCATGAGGATGTGAGTGACTTTGACAAGGGCCAAATGTATACTGTATGTAGCAAAGTGGTCCAAGGAAGGAAAACCAGTGAACCGGGGACAGGGTCATGGGAAGAAACAGACTCATTGATGCGAGTCAGGAGTGAAGGCTGGCCCGTGTGGTCCTACTGTAGCTCAAATGACTGAAACAGTTAATGCTGGTTCTGTTGGAAAGCTGTCAGAACACACAGTGCATCGCAGTTTGTTACCTAGGGGGCTCCGCGACCATGCTGACCGCTGTCCACCTCCGAAAGCGCCTACAATGGGCACGTGAGCTTCAGAACTGGACCACGGAGCAATGGAAGAAGGTGGCCTGGTCTGATGAATCACCTTTTCTTTTACATTATGGATGACCAGGTGCGTCAATCACCTGGAGAAGACATGGCACCAGGATGCACTATGGGAGGAAGGCAATCTGGTGGAGGCAGTGTGCTGCTCTGGGCAACATTCTGCTGGGTAACCTTGGGTCCTGCCATTCATGTGGATGTTACTTTGACACGCACCACCTACCCAAACATTGTTGCAGACAAGTACACCTCTTCATGGAGACGGTATTCCCTCATGGCTGTGGCCTCTTTCTGCAGGATGATGCAGAAGACCTACACATAATAGGCAGGTGGTCATAATGTTATGGCTGATCGGTGTTATTTGGGGATAGCTGTTGGGCATTTCTTTTTGAAATCATGACATGTTTTTTATTCTTGATAAATGAAAGTGAAATTAGTATATATTTTTTCTTTCAAATATATTGTAAGAAAATGGTGCCATTTTACCCTGCTCTTGTATTTTTCTCAATTTCTTCTCAACTCAACTAAATATATTTAAAAGTCTTACCCTGTTTTTCATCTAGATGTGAGGTGGCGCAATTTGTATTTTTATCAAATCATATATCCCTCTTCACAGGTGTTTCATCAGGTACATCTGATGTTACCCAGTCTCCTGATTTCTCCGTCACGGAGGGGGAGACAGTCAACATCACCTGCTGCTGGTCAATGGAGATTGGAAGAGTCAGAGTTCACTGGATGAAACATGACACACATTTTGGGTCTTTCAACCTGAAGAATCTCTCTCAAGGATCTCCGCAAAAAGAGACATCCAAGTGCTCACACTTGACCTTAATTAATGTCACCAGAGAGGATTCAGGGACATTCATATGCAGGGTGATAGTGCAGATACCATTTTTAACTATAAAAGAAGGAAATGGTACTGTCATCACAGTTGTAGACAACACAGACGACAACACAACAAGAGGTAGGTGCTACCAGAGATGGCTAAGTACTCAGATTATCCACTCAGTAAAATAAGCGAAACTACAGTGTAAAAATGCATTCAAAAATTATACTTAAGTAAAAGTACCAAAGTATTACCCTCAAAATATACTTGAAGTCCCAAAAGTAAAGGTTCTTGTTTTGCAGAATGGACCATTTAAGCACCATTTATTTTAAATGATTGTATTTAAATAATAATGAAATAATGTGTTCATCACTTCCATGTTGCAATTGGTAAAGGTTTTTATAGATTAAGCTATATATCATAATGTATTAGGCTGTGAAAACGTAAAGTATTATGCTTGACTAAATGTACTTTGTTACATTCCACCACTGGTAGTGTTGCATAATCATTTGGACTAATATCTTGGTTTTCCATATGCTAATTATATGAAGTATCCAGAATGTAATATGGTCTGTTTAGAAACAAAGACGTGATATCACATCTCAAACCTTAGATCAGCCACATATTGCTTGTTTTACAAAGCAGTATACTTGACATCCTTTTTAACTATCAACCAAATCCTATCTTCTAAAAAGAAAATGGGGTAGACTCAACCCAACTGCAGGATGTCACACCTCCCACAGAAAGGTGTTGTCGCCTATGGAGACTAATCATATCATCTCTGTGTAGGGTCAGGTTCTCCCTTCAGGGAAGAAGTGTTCATTTATGTCCTGAGGTGCCTGCCCCTCCTCTGCCTCATCGTGACCTTCTTCATCATCAATTTCAGGGCTAAAGCTCAGCGACACACATCAGGTACAACAACCTTTACTCCATTTTGATAAAATGGTGTTTTGATCATGCATTAGAAACATATACAATGTTAGAGAACATTGAGTCTAATCGATCAGTGCATCTGTGTTTCAGCTGCTCCTGGAAATGAACTCACTTCAGTCCAAAGAAGAGGAGAAAACCAGGAGGAAGAGTAAAGAGATGTGAGGAAAAAGGAGTCCATACATAGTAATGATATTTACACGAAATCAACACGTGTCACCTTTAATTATTCGCTAACGTTTTGGGATAAAAGGAGTTTGCTAACATTGTGTAAATCTGCACGTTGAGATTCGTCTTGATGCTTTTATTTAGAAAATGTGCCTTGTAGACTGCTTATATCTCCTTTGATTGCATCTGTGTCTTTAATTGCATGTTGCATCTATTAAAAAAATGAATCTTTTCTTATATGTACAGGACTGTATACATGCAATTCAGAAACAAGGGCACCATCTGTTTTTGTCTAAATATGGACCTATAAGTAAAGTATGGTAGAGTCCATGCTTTATTGGATTTTTCTGGATCATTTATTCATAAAGGGTTTTCTCTTAAGCAAAAAGTGACACAAAGCAGTACATACACATTGACTGGCAGGTCCAAAAGTGTGGATAAGAGTACATATTTCTGCACATAGTACACAGAGGGTTTACATCAGAATAAAACTAGACCAATTCGTTTTTAGTATATTGAAGACAGTGGAGAATTGGACAGTGTAGGAGTAAGCCCTTCAGTCAAAGATTTGAAGAGTGTATACTTTGGGGACTCCTAGTGGTTGTTTGAAGAAAAACACAACACTAAAGCAGACAGCAATTCATGACTTTAAAGGGGTGCTATTTTGTTCATGTTCAGGTTCATATTTGTATTTTCTGCCTCTACTCTGACATGTCTCCATGCTTTAATGTTCAAAAAGCTCTTTATTTTTCTCATACTGCTTGTGCTGCACACAGGGATGCTAGCCTATGCAAAGCAAGGCAAGTTTATTTTTATAGCACCTTTCAACACAAGGCAATTCAAAGTGCTTTACAAAAATGAAAGACATTAAGAAAATGGCATTTAAAAACGGTCATTAAAAAGCAAAGATAATAAAATAAACATTAAAAGAGAAAATGTATGAATAAAAGTTACAGTGCAGTTTAAGATATGAATAGTTCAATTAAAAGCAGCGGCAAAAAGAAAAAATGCAGACTATTTACATTTACACAAACCTAGAACCCACTACAGGAAAGGGAACACCCCAAAAAGCACAATAGGGCCTCTTTAAGATACCACCACCTCAATCTGACCCCTGAACAGAGATGAATGGTACAACCCATTTTAGTATAAACAGGTGAACTGAACCAATCTTCTGCAGAATATCCTAAGGTTTTTTAGAAATTAATGTGACGATTAACTTGCTACAAAGAAACCTTAAAATACTTGGTAAATGTAGGACTAGGTTTAGGGTAAGAAATGGAGTAAGGCCACCATTTGTGTCCCCTGATAGTTGAAACACAAGGCAAAGACAACATTGCCCTTATAGTATATTTTCCTTAATGAATATTGATATTTGACTGCTTTTATCCTCCTCCTCATCTTATTTGTTGGTGGGACATTTCAGTATTTCTAATGTGGAATTGACTTTGATCTTTAAACAGCATTGTAAAACTGAGATTACCTTACACAGAACCTGAAGCAGCAACGGAAAGAGGAAGGAACAGAGCAGCGGCAGAAAAAACACAATGCCCACTGTGACGTGTGTGTGTGTGTGTGTGTGTGTGTGTGTGTGTGTGTGTGTGTGTGTGTGTGTGTGTGTGTGTGTGGGTGTGTGTGTGTGTGTGTGTGTGTGTGTGTGTGTGTGTGTGTGTGTGTGTGTGTGTGTGTGTGTGTGTGTGTGTGTGTGTGTGTGTGGTGGGAAGGACGTTGATAGCTGTGAAGAGTGTCAGTTGTCTGTGGTGAATCAGAGTGTAAAGATGAGGCTTCTTCTCTGCAGTCTGCTCCTCGCCTCTCATTGTGCCCTCTCATCTCGGAGTGAGTAGAAACAAAACGTAATCTTTAATTTAACCTTGTTAAACTTGTACTCAAAAAGTATGGATTTCATCAAATGTTTATTTATCAATGCCAGCAATAACTGTTGAATGTGTAACAATAAATGGCAATTGACAAAGACCACCATTTCCTTATTGCTTGTGTAGTTTCCACATTTTGGTTGTAGACATTCGCTATTAAAACGGTTTAAATCTCTATGATCTTCTTAAACCATGTCTAAACAACGCATATCTTGAGATTTTGTGTTACACGCTAAAAGAAATTGCTGGTCCAGCTTTTAAAATATGGCAATAGGTAATGTATTTGTTATCAACTCATCATGTACCATTCCATCTCTTCACAGGTGTTTCATCAGGGACATCTGATGTTACCCAGTCTCCTGATTTCTCCGTCACGGAGGGGGAGACAGTCAACATCACCTGCTGCTGGCCACTGGAGATTGGAAGAGTCAGAGTTAACTGGATGAAACATGACACACAATTTGGGTCTTTCAACCTGAAGAATCTCTCTCAAGGATCTCCGCAAAAAGAGACATCCAAGTGCTCAAACTTGACCTTAATTAATGTCACCAGAGAGGATTCAGGGACATACATATGCAGGGTGATAGTGGAGATACCATTTTTAACTATAAAAGAAGGAAATGGTACTGTCATCACAGTTGTAGACAACACAGAGGTCAACTCAACAAGAGGTAGGTGACAAAACAAGGCTTCACATAACTTATAACTTTTAAACCTTAGATCAGTCACATTTTGCCTGTTTCATAAATAAACAATCCAATGTTGTTTTTCTCATAGTGCTACTTTTTTTAACATCTCTTTACCTTGCACACACATCCAATTTCCTGCAAAAGAAAACAAATTAAAGGAAACTCCCTAACACCTTCACTTCTGCTATTTCTCACTGTTATATTTGTGTATTACATTTTCTCACGATAGGACAAGATATCCCTTTTATGGAGCGTCCTGTGATCATTTGTCTGGCTGTGGTGACTCCATTACTCCTCATCACACTCTTGTGTTTCTGCTGTCTGCGAAGGAGACAAGGTAAAAAAATGTATTACTGCCATATTGTTCAAGCATTTGAAATAAGTGATTGTCCCAGAATAAAGGGTTGGTTTACCCAAATAAAATAAAAAGCATATTTCTCATTTACCTCTATACCATGCAGACTTCATAAGTCTCTTTCTAGACACTAGAAAGACACTGATACTGACATATTTTCACCGTATATACTGTAATAAAAAAGTGCCGAAAAACTCAAGTCGAAGGTAAAGTTGCGTATTTGAAGCAAAATAATGAGTTAATGACGTAAAACATCTACCCTGGACAGCACTTCAAAGGTGAAGTCTTTGTAATTAATATAAACTTATTAGAGACTTATATTAAATGGGGGACAAAATCCAAACATCTTGATCTTCACATGTGAACATTTAGTCATACATTTGGTTAGAAAAGTCTTAATTTAACTAAATGGAAAAATCGAATGTATGCGCAATCTGACATTTCAAAATATATTAAATGAACAAATAAAATAAATATATTTGAATTCCTGGACTTTATTAGCTCATGCATTTTAGCAAGATTTATTCTCATGGTAAACTTCCTGCACTTTCAAACATTTGCCACCTATGTGTTCTGCTTTTTGCGTTTTCGAGGTGAGCGTACCCTGCAGTCTACGCAAGACTAAAAAATGCTACCAAGAAAATTAAACATTTACTTTAATTAAATGTATTATGTCAACAGTTTCCACATAATTGTATTAGGTTAGTCGAAAGCAATAATATTAAGTTTAACCTATTTATATTTAAACTTGATATTATTGCTTTCTACTAACCTAATACAGTTATGTGAAATCTGTTGACATAATACATTTAGTTAAAGTCAACTGTGACTGCAATACATGGCTTGGGTAAAATAAAGCGTGTGTGTGTGTGTGTGTGTGTGTGTGTGTGTGTGTGTGTGTGTGTGTGTGTGTGTGTGTGTGTTGTGTGTGTGTGTGTGTGTGTGTGTGTGTGTGGTGTGTGTGTGTGTGTGTGTGTCATGGGTTCAGCACGAACAGCCAGGGTGATCTACGAGGTTCCCCACATCGACTCTGAGGAAGTAGAGATGGACAAACACAGCACCAGCTCCTCCACAGGTTCCTCTCAGTGGGTGAGTAAAATGACACCAAGTCTACAAACAGAGTAACAGTAGCAAACTGAAAAAGACAAGAGAAAATGGTAGCGCCAACAGCAGGGTCTTCGTTCCCTTTTTTCCTTCAGTGTGGTGATGGTGAATGAAGAGTCAAATAGTGTGAGGAAAAGGAAATCCACCTTTTCATCACTTTAGAGGAGAAAATAACAGAAATTGGCCATTCTATTGTATAATGCAACCGGTGTGGACCAGCGGTGTCTGTGTTGTGTTTTGGAAGATAAGACGCGAGTCAGCATATTGTTGGAGCCGATCTGTGTTTATTCTGACAACAGATGTAGGCCTACAACAAATCAGTTGTTACTTTATTGTATGCCCTCACACTTCGGCTCCTGCACAGATGAAATAAGAAAGAAATAATTCAGCATACACACATGTTCATAGCTTAATGCAGAAATGTCCGAAAACAGTGCAGTTTACCTCTCCTGGGAGACACGTTAACAAAAAGGGAAGAGGAAAACATGAAGAACACTATAAAGCGGGAAAGTCCCCATAAAAATAATCGTATGGGTACAGGGAGGGACTGCATTTCAGATGTTCTGCCCACTGATTTGAGGGCTAATAAGTCAGACCATTAAAGGTGGGGTAGGTAATTTTGGAGAAACCAGCTCGAGTGCGCTAGTTTTTGAAAATACACAACCGGAAAAAATCTGCCACTTCCTACAGAGCCCCTCCTCCAACACACACGAACGCGCACATGACCAATGAGGGCACGAGATAAATTTGTGCACAGATGGAAGGCTGACAGGCAGGTAGGCCATCCAGTTACTTTAGCCGGGCCGGCTCAGATGATTGGTCGTGCTTTTTACAGCGCCACGGCTTCCACAGATGATATTTCTTTATGGATTTTTTGTCAAAGCACTTCAGATATTCATTGCTATCGGGATGTTAAGAGCATTCCATGGAATATAACACAAAGTGTTTCTCGAGCCGGTTTCTCAAACTTACCTACCCCACCTTTAACTTCTGGTAGATACAGAACACAGAATTTGTGTGATTGTAATAAAATAAATTACAAATAAACGTTAGACTCTAACACCAAACTTACTGTATATTCACAATTGTTACATATCATCTTATTATTAAAATAAGTCATCCTCATTGTCAGTCTGCCTCACATTGATTTAAATGTCTTTAATCAGCCTTCTTAAAGTTTCCAGAATTGTTCCACAAGATTTTATATATTGCGTGAGCTGAAATGTGATAAATGGTGAATAGGTGGTGAATGGTGCTAAATATGCTAATCTAAAACTACTCTCTGAAGGCATAACATTATTAGATTAACTGTATTTTCCACCTCAGTGGAAATGTCTCTTTGTCTTTTCCAAGTACATCTCCAAGGTACTACAATATACATAACATAACACACCATTAAAACATAGAAATATACACAAGTCCTAAGGGGCATGTGGCAGCAATACGTAATGGAAGTAGAATGAGAGCACATTATATAAAATAGCAGCATTCTCAGTATTTAATATATCAAATTAAAAATCCATTGTTGGTTTCAATTGGATGTTATTATGTTCTGCAGCATATACACTGACCACATTTGATCAAATGTTCAATCCATTAGAATTGAGTTTCTTTCACCTTTACTGCAGTATGGTGTAATATAGTCCCCTACACCTACAGCATTGAAAGAGCAAAACTTAAATTGTTCCCTTTTTAAGAATGCCTTATGTAGTGGCTCAAGCTTTATTTTAGTTTTACTTTTGTAATGAATTTCATTTCAAGTTTTATATTTGATCTCTCTCACAAATGTAATAGAAATATAATGCGGTGAGGCAGCATCACGGTAAACTTGCATCATACTTGCATTTCAATTAAAAAGTAGGATTTAAAACACAACCACACTGTTGTACTGGTTTACACTGCAGCAAAAACACATTTCAGTTTTTCTGGGAATTCAGTATGAACTATGATTTCGTTGTAACCAAAACAGGGACATACAGTATTGAGTAATAATTATGAAATATATCTGGCATGCTGTTTCTGACCAACTGTTTCAATTTCTCATGCCTCCTTAATTCTTTGTATTGCGCATTCGCAAAGCTCTTATGTCAATGTACATAGACACAATGCTATAGCACTGATACAGTATAATGCTTGCAATCACAATTTGTATGTGTCTCTCTCTTTCAGTGTCAGGTGCCAGTGTACGAATCCTTCGATTACTTTGAGCGTGTGGAGAACAAAGAAAGTGAATGAGGACCTGCTCGGGGAATTTTTATATATATTTTTGTATCCGTACTTTCAGCATGTAAATGATGTATATACCTTTTTACTTTTACCTGAAGCTTACATGTTTTTAAATGTGTGTAAATATTTTCTATTTTCTATAAATTCTCTTTTCCATAAACTCAATCTATGTGGTCCAAGTTCATTTACATCAGGACATTCTCTTTGTGCATTTAAAAAAATGTTACTTCGACTTTCACTTGATCATACACTGAATTTTTTTTTAAAAGAGTAACTTTAATTAAATGTATTATGTCAACAGGTTACAAATAACTTTATTAGGTAAGTTGAAAGCAATTGTATTAAGTTTTTACATTTAAACGTAATATGAATGCTTTCAATTGACCTACTACAGTTATGTGTTATCTGTTAACATAATACATTTATTCAAGTCAACTTTTCTTGAGTGTAGCTACAGTACTACAAGCTAGTCAATGGTCTGCGTTAGTGAGAGGTTCTGTAGAAAAGATGCCAGTTACACAATGTCTTCCGTTCAGACTGTGGAAAGTGTGGTGTTACTGGGTTGCTGCATTAAAGGTCAACAACAGGAAGTGGAAACAGCTCCTGTCGGTCGAAGTCGCTACTTGTGGCCTTGTGAGTGCATTTTCATCTCACACACACACACTGATACAGAACTTCTAAAATGCAATATTCTGGTTAACTGACTCTTACTGTTGGTGCATTTTGCTTAGGCAATGTTTCACTATCATTATCTAACCATCATTAATCCCTCAGTACATGTGCCACAGTGCCCATATCATGTTCATTTTGTGAAATGTCCAGAAACGACACGTACAAAACAATCTTAGCATTATTTAAAAAATCAACATTACACTCAAAAAGTTAGCAGGAGTTGCTAATGCCAAATGCACGTGTTTAATTTAACCTGAAATAAGGTTACATTCTTTCTTCGTCTATTGTTAAAGGTTTATTAGGATTATACCTTGGACATGACATAAATCAGTTTTTTCTGTTAAATATTGGTCACGGTCTCCAAAACGAAATAAAATATCTCAGTCAAAGTGCTAATTTGTTAGCATACTGTAGGTTATGTTAAATAACTGTAGCCTACTCCTAGCATCCCTACAACACTGAACATGAGAAGCTTTAGCTGCACTGAACTAGTTAGTTAGCAATTATCATCCTTGTAGGAAATGCTAAGCAGATATAAAGTTAGTCAAATGTGTTACTGCTCTTCATATCTTACTCAGAACCATCTGCTAGATTTGATTTGAGATGTGATCCTGTAGTGGGCTAAGGATTTTCATGATTCAAAGCATTTCTGTCCAGAATGGCAAAAATGTTGTCCTGGGAAAAAAAACAATGTTTAAATCCAACATTCCCACTGTGCCAAAGCATTCAATGCCAATGTGCTATAGCATGTGGCTGATGCAGACTGAGGTTTTAAACATTAGATTCAAGAAGACAAAATGGCATCAAGGCACGACAAAATGTATTTTGTGCTTGTCCCGTAGGTGCAACATATATAGAATAATATAACAAATGAGGATTAAATAAATGTAAAAACCCATTAAATCTAATCTGATTTGATCTGAAGCACCTGTCTGATGGGGGGAAGCTCAAACATGTTCTGTCTGGGGTGAGTGATGTCTTTAATTATGACTTTGTCCCCTGGCAACGCAGTGCCAAGAATGCCTTGTGCTGTTTTCACAAAATGCTGTTGTGCTTTCTCTTCTAGTTTTGGCCTATGCAAACATGTTATCATTCTTAGTGATTACCAAAATACCTTTTAATAAACATAGAGGAATATCCTTTTATTTAAAGACACATTTAAATGTTGCACTTAAGGTATGCATAACTATAACTCAGATCTTGTACTTGAGTAAAAGTAGAAGTACCAGAGTGTAGGAATACTTTGTTACAGTAAAAGTCCTGCAATCAAAATGTGACTCAAGTAAAAGTCCAAAAGTATTATCATCAAAATAAACTTAAAGCACCTAAAGTAAAAGTCATTGCGCAGATTGGTCCATTTCAGAATAATATATATGATATGTTTTATAATGATTGATCATGAAAGTGTTCTCAAAGCTGGTAAAGGTGCAGCTAGTTTGAATGACTTTGGATACTGCAGGGTAGCTTGTGGATTTACTCCAGGTGGAACTAAAGTCTGATTCAACACTTGATTATATTTCACATCATTAACCCACATCTGTGTCACAGTCTGCTTTCTCACTCACCTATTTTCTGCATTAACATTCCTTAGTCACCTGGTAGTCACACCCTGTCTCTCTCTCTCTCACTCCGTTAAACCTATCAGCTCCATTAGTATTTAGGCCCACTTCACTTTCACCTCAGTGCCAGATCTACTTTGCAGCATGCCAGTCTTTCCCGCATTACCCTCCAGATTGCTCTCCCGGTTTCGACCCTGCCTGTCCCTGACCAGCCTGCCTCGCCTGCTCCCTGACCCGTTCTGTACCTGCGACTGCCGTCCTGCTTTCTCCTGGAACCCTCGCCTGTCCCCGACCAGCCCTTTGCCGACTATCTGCCGTTTTGTCTCCTACCAGCATATTGCCTTCAATAAAGCTGGTTACCGACTATCCCTGGTTTCCCGTGTTCTGCATTTTGGTCCTCAGCTCGTTTGTGACAATCTGTAAAGTAACTAAAGGTATTAAATACATGTAGTGGAGAAAAAGTACAATATTTACCTCTGAATTTGAATGGAGTAGAAGTAAAAAGCAGCAGAAAATTGAATAACTCAAGTAAAGTACCTCAAAATTGTACTTGAGTAAATGTACTTAGTTACTTTACACCACTGCTATTGCTATGCCAGTGACAGGCAAAACATATTAAATGCTATTAAAAGACTTTTTAAAAACGTGTATGTTCTGCTCTCTTTGAGAGTTAATTTGTTTGGCAGTCAACGATGCTATTTGTCTACAGGACTTTGCCATGATAGATCTATGCCGTATTGTTTGGCGTGTGTAACACAGGCTGTGTGTGTGTGTGTGTGTGTGTGTGTGTGTGTGTGTGTGTGTGTGTGTGTGTGTGTGTGTGTGTGTGTGTGTGTGTGTGTGTGGTGTGTGTGTGTGTGTGTGTGTGTGTGTGTGTGTGTGTGTGTGTGTGTGTGTGTGTGTGTGTGTGTGTGTGTGTGTGTGTGTGTGTGTGTGTGTGTGTGTGTGTGTGTGTGTGTGTGTGTGTGTGTGTGGAGAGATGGTTAAGAGGAGACACAGATGAATAAAGTAGAACTATGTGTCCGACATATCTCACCAGTAACTTCCCCTAGCTGATAACTAACATTACATTTTCAAAAATGTTTTTAGGAAAACAATGCTAATGCTACTTAAGAGAAATATACAGATGTAGAGTAAAGTAAAAAAAAAAAAAGTGTCCTGGAACTATTACGACTCATGGAAGCAACATTTAATACAACTAATAAAAAAGATGCTTTTGCCTTAAGTATCTTGCCACAGTTGTGTGTCCATTCCATCTAGTAACAAAAGGTGACAAACAGTACATTGTTCATAATTCAGCACTTTAAAGTCCAGACCCACCTTTTCAATTTTGATTTTAAAGCTATGTGTTACACTGATTATCAACCGGGAAGGGGGAGAGATAGTATTGTTTCTATTTGTGAATTGTCAATGTGTTTTTGTGAAGCACTTTGTGTTACTACTGTGTATAAAAGATATAAATAAAGTAAATTACAATATGTTAAGACGAAAGGGATAAAATATCTTTCTGAAAATGTAAATGTTTTAATCACAACGAAAATATATATACTCTAATTTGTTTCTGTCCAGGACAGGGTGGACACATTTTGGATGTCTGCTTGCAGTCTATAAAAAAAACAGCCTGAGATCTATAAAATCACTATGAAGTGACACCACTTTGACGTCTGAAAGGCACCCTTGGGCGAAACCCTGAAGTTTTGATCACCTGAATTTTTGGACCCAATCCATCTTTCCAAAGGTATCAAAAGAGCCTCCTTCACATCTACAGCTCTTTCGAGCGCTGTTGGTCTTCCATTTTCCTCTTTACAGCAGCAGCCACCATGAGCTAGAGAGGCATGGGCTTCCCAGGAGGACGGAAAGAAAACCCTCACCAAAAGCGGCTCAGGAAGAAAGCCTGCAGGATTACAAAACACCTGAGCTCTGTAAAGAACATCCATAACGTTCACCTGTTTGCATCTAGCTATTTATTTATCTATACATCATATTCCATTTACGTGTATTTAGACTCTTCTTGCACTATTACTATTTTATTTGTATTTACTTGCACATCTTACAACATTCTCTTGCTCTATTTTATTTACATTCTTTTATTTCTTGAACTATTGTATTGGTTTTATTTGTTTTATGTTCTATATATATTATGTTGCATTGTTGGAGGAGCCTTGGACTTCAGTTTTTCATTGCCATATCTACAATGTAGCTACTGTGCATATGAAAATAAAGCCTTGAATCTTGAAAATCTTAGAAAAACCTGTAATATGTTTTTGATATAGAGTATAGGGGACCTTTAAGAAAACAATGATACAACAAAAATACAAATGTTGCTGTTAGCTTTAGTTCTTCAGAACTTTTGGGCATTCCCTCGTGGATCTTTACGAAATTATTGATAAACATGCACACACATGAATTAAGAAAAATATGTGTAATAAGGATGATCTGGGCACTTCTGAGACAAATAAAATACAACCAAAGTATCTAATATAGAAGATGAAAGACATCAATAAATCATTCAAAACACTGGTATCTCTATTTCATGGTGTGCAATAGAATTTTTTTTAAGTACTGTAGCAGGGGATCAAATAGCCTGTCATATTTGAACAATCACTAGACTTCCTGTCTAACTAGGGCATGCACACAGTAGGTTCGATTTGTGTTAGTTAGCCTACTAGCCGTGGCGTGATTGCTCCATATTACGCTTTAAAGGACATTGTTTCAGCACACAGTGTGCAGAATTCTCAAGCGTGTGGTCAGAGCAGTGGCTTTGTATCAGATGCAACAGTGATGAGCCGCTCACACAAAGTACGTCAACACCCCACACACAGCTTCTTGCCGACACAGCGGTCTCACACATGTATTTCCAGTAGGTGTTATTCAAAGTCAAAGTGGGGGCATTACACAGAAGTGGATAGTTGGCCTGCGTTTTGTGTACACATGACTATTGTAAAGCAGTTGGGAAGTAATGCACTTTGTACATTAAAATTGCATTTTCATAGTTCCTTTCTGGTGATGGAAGTAGTAGTAAAAAGCACAATTACACAAGTGCTGAACTTAATTACAAATATTAGAACCAGAAGTTAACTTTATTGACCAAGAATGTGTATACATACGTGGAATCTGCCTCTTCTGATGAAGTAAATAGACAGAAAAACAAAAAATGAGGAGTTGGAAAAGGAGTTAGTCAATGTATTTTTGCTGCCTGTTCTGACATGTATATCTTAATGGAGGTATAGCTTGGCACCAAAGTTTCCGAAATGAATGTATTCCTGTCCTTTTTGATGGCCAATCCACACCATACAGTGAACACACACTGAATAACTGCAGTGCAGAAAGGAAGTCAAGAGGTGTAGAGGTTTTCAATTTGCTTGAGTATTTTCTGCTCATGTGACTT